ACACACACACACACACACACACACGTCCCCCCCACAATTCTAGTTCAATAGGTTTATGTAGTGTCTGTGTCTGACCCTGAGCCTGTGTGTGATCCAGATCCTGGAGTGCACCCCAGACGGCCATGTGGACAAGGAACACCTGAGGGAAGCTCTGGAGAGAGCAGAAGAACTCTGCCAACAGGTTCCTCTGTCACTCACACTCTTCGTCTTTGTTGGACGAGGTTTTTGTGGAATTTGAAAATTCATTTCAAATTGTTCTGCTTGAGCAGGTCAACGAGGGTGTGCGAGAGAAGGAGAACTCTGAGCGTTTGGAGTGGATTCAGAGCCACGTGCAGTGTGACAGTGCTGCTGAGGTCAGTTTTTGACTGATGGTCCAGGATCAGAGTCAGTGAGCGCCACCTGTGGGTCTGATGCTAATAAGATTCTGATTTTTCTCTGCCTGCAGTTCTTGGTATTCAACTCTCTGACCAACTGTCTGGGCCCCAGGAAACTGCTGCACAGTGGGAAGGTGAGGATGGACTGTGGCTAACAGAACCAAAACCATCAGAATCTGCTGTGAAGGGGTCAGGGGTCACACCTGAGGAAACTGGGTGCTCCTCCATGATGGCTCCTCCTCCTCTTTCTGCAATAATGTCTGAATTAGAATATTTGAGTGTAAAGTTACTGCTCATTTGCATAAGGTCAAAGGTCATCTCAGCCTTGACTTGACCTCACTCCCACTACAAACAACCAGCTTCTCTGGACAAGCAGGACAGGAAGTGATGTCATAGATATCAATTATCTGTCACTTCAGTCAGAGAAACGTCAAGTCTGGTTGTTGTTGTTGTTGTTGTTGTTGTTGTTGTTCAGATGATGATGTGTGGTTGTTGTGTTTCTTCATAGATGTTCAAGGCGAAGAGCAACAAGGAGTTGTGGTGTTTCCTCTTCAACGACTTCCTACTTCTGACCTACGCAGCCAAACAGTTCACGTCGTCCGGTCCAGACAAACTGTTCAGCAACAAGAACCACACTCAGCTGAAGATGTACAAACCTGTGAGTGTGTGTGAACGTCTCTTTGTTGTTGTTGTTGTCTTTGTGCTCATTGGCTGTGTGTTCTCTGCTGCAGCCTGTGCTGTTAAATGAGGTGGTGGGGAAACTTCCAGATCCTTCCCGCGATGAGCCGCGCACATCTCACACATCGACAGAGTCTACACCCTGAGGACGGACAACATCAACGAACGGTAACAGCTGAGTGTGTGTGGAAGAAACTGCCTAGTGGGGGTGGGTGAGGGGGCGTGGGGGTGTTTAGTTCATTGTGTGACTTGCTGTGTGTCTGTGTGTGACTGCAGAACAGCCTGGGTTCAGAAGATCAAAGCTGCATCTGAAAACTTCATGGAGACGGAGAAGAAGAAAAGAGAGAAAGTTTACCAGGGTGAGTGGGGACGGATGACGTTTATCAGATGGTGATGATGATGATGATGATAATAACGACAAATATGATGATGATGTTGTGTATGTAAACAGCTCGCTCTATCAAGTCCAGTGGGATCGGCAGACTCCTGGTCACCATCCTAGAAGCCACCGAGCTGAAGGCAGGAAAACCAAACGGTGAGTCTGGACTACCGTCCTCACAGGACGTCCTCACAGACCGTCCTCACAGACCGTCCTCACAGACCGTCCTCACAGACCGTGCTCACAGACCGTCCTCACAGACTGTTAATAAACAGTACCAAAGTAAAGAGCAACAGTTTAAAGAAAACCAGATCGTGACTCTGAATCTGTAGACAACAATCACTCTTTTTCTTCTCTCTTCATTTCTACACCTCGCCCACCCCCCTCCCGCGCCCCCACCCCTCCAGGTAAAAGTAACCCTTACTGTGAAGTGACCATGGGAGCTCAGAACTTCACATCCAGGACTCTGAACGACACTCTGAACCCAAAGTGGAACTTCAACTGTCAGTTCAACATCAGGGACCTCTACCAGGACGTCCTCTGTATCACCATCTTTGAACGAGACCAGTTCTCACCTGACGGTCAGTCCCTTCTCTCTCACCTCCATCTGTTGATCTTCTCAGTGAAGAGCTGCACTGAAGATGGTGGATTTAAATGTTGTTGTTGAAGTGTGAAGCAGTCTGGGCTGAGCTCCACTACTAGAACACCTCCTGACCTCCTCACATGTTCACCTCTTCTTCTCTCACTCCTGGCAGTTTTCCTGGGGCGGACTGAGGTTCCTGTGGCCACCATAAAGAAGGAGTTGGAGAACAAAGGAGCTGTGACGCGACGTCTGCTGCTGCACGAGGTTCCCACTGGGGAGGTCTGGGTCCGTCTGGACCTGCAGCTGTTCGGGGGCAAGTAGTCGGAGAGAATGAAGGGGTCTGTTGTGACAACCAGCTGGTCAGAGACTGGTCAGAGACTGACTCTCCTGATGTTGCTGTTACAAACCTTTAGATGGTTGTTGATGATCAGAATGGTTGACTGGTTGGAACTGCGGAGAACCAGGAACTGGATTGAACTCAATAGTTCTTGCTGCCTGTATTTCTGCTCCCTTTAAATTCTTGGTAGAAATGAGTTTTCTACTGTTCTCACAGCTCATACTTCTGAGTTCTCTTTTTAACTTTCAGACATTGAAAATCGATTGCGATCAATGTTCTGACCCTTGTGTTCAGTTCAAACCTGTCCTTCCTCAGTGACGAAGGTTGCTGTAGGTCAGAACCTACTTAGTTCCAGGTCCTGGAGCTCTCTTGCTACTGAAGCCTGTGGTGACAGTGTTCCTTTGATCCACATTGACTGTGTGCATTGAACTCACCACGTCATGCTCTGTTCTTCCTGGTTCTTGAACCTCTGTTGGCAGATGTTCTCCAGGCTCTCAGTGCCTTTCAGTTCAGGTGTATGATCCTTAGAGGGTGGAAACAGTTCTGTTCACTGTTTCTTTGGGCTGTGTGTGTGTGTGTGTGATCAGAATCATGTCCCTTAACCTCTTCTCTTAATCCCTGTAGGGTAGTGGAAGTGATTATTATTATTATTAATATTATTATATATTATTTGGAGCCTTCTGTCGGCATGTTGTCGCTGCAGACTTCAGAGCCTGTGACCAACCTGCTGTCTGTTGATATTTTGGCCTCCATGTGGTGCTTTCTGATTCAGGGTTTCTTATTTCTAATAAAATATATTTAAAAAATATCTTATCTGCTTACTGATTTTATTTATAATATATTTATAAAAAGGAAGTGACGCAATACGGTACCGCCGAAAGCACGGCTGAGACATTGACCTCTGATAGTCCTTGGGCTCCCTCTAGTGGTAGACAAAGGGAATATGTTTGTTATTAAAATTAGATGAGTCACTGAGTCGTTAACTACAGCTTTCATTGTATATAACAGTCGTTGGCTGGCTGTTGACAACCGACAAAGTGTCACATGAGTCTGATGATTGTTTGTTTTTTTTTATTGGTGTTTATTGAATGTGTCTTACAGTAAAATGTTCATGTGAGAGGTTGTTCTGTCAACAACCTGCTCGAGCCAATCACAAACCTTTATCTGGTTAGAAAGAAAGGTTTTCATGACTGATCCAGTGAAAACAACATCATGAACACATAACAGTTAGTAAGTAGTAAAAGACCAGGAAAGCTGGAACACTTCTTCATCATCACCCTCATCACCCTCGCCATCATCAACCAGATAAACTAGATCACTGAGAACTGGATTCCATGTTTGTTGAGTCTCTCAATCAGAGAGGTCTTTGCAAAAGCAGCTCCAGGAGAGTAGACCCCTCCCCTGAGGAGAGAAAACACACACAGACACACTGAGAACTAAGTTCCTCTGTTGTTACTGCAGTCGAACGTTCACCAGGAACATTTGTGTCAGTTGTCTGTCTGTGGTCCAGCTGTGGACAGGCTGTTCAACTCACCTCTTGGGCAGAGCTGCAGGTTCATGAAGGATGGTCAGAGCAGCCTGGACCATGGCGATGGGCGTGGCCACATATCCACACTCTGTAGAACAGGAAGTTCAAGTCAAGAATTTCAAACTTTGTCATTTTGTCTCGGTGTCGGGAGAAAATGTTGACCTGTGAAGTACTGACATCGTACTCATGGTCAATGTTTTTGTGTGTTTTTTGTAACACCATCAAATCAAAAACATGTCAGACATAAGACATCTGGTACCTGGTCCCTGGACTAGGATGCGGATCTTCCCATTTGGTTTTCCCTGTGAAGGGTCCAGGCCCTCGGTGTAGCCCTCTCCAAGAAAGGCAAACTGGAAGGAGGAAGCTTCCATCTGACACACAGGAAATGTACTCAGTACTTTATATACTCTTTACTGTAGTAACTGTGCTGTGTCCTAATACTTCACCTGCTTTTTACTTGGTCCAGCCTTCGAGAACACTCCAAATGAGAAGAACTCGGGGAACTGAGAGGAGAGAGAAACCACAGACATGGAGTACTCCTGAAGTACTGGAAACCAGTGTGTAAACAGTACAGATGACATAAGGTTGTGAATGCAGCGTCATTTACCTTAATCAGCAGATTTCTCCCAAAACTGAACTTGACTAAGAACCAGAACATCATGCCAGCGAACATCAGTTTGATGACGTTGCTGATTCCTCCGACTCCGGCGTAGGCACCGTACTGAACCTAGAGGGACAAACAGAAGCTCGGTGATGGAAAACAACAGAACCAAAGTTCATTTTCAGATCATGGTGACTGGACGTTTGAGCTGATCAGAAGAACTCGACAGGAACTTCCCCTGAATGGAAAATAATTCCCCATTAAAAACAACACCCAGTAAGTAGGAACTGCTGACACTGACCCTCCTGCTGTACGGCAAAAGCACTAACCACTATCCCAACGTGCAGCTTCCAAATAATAAAAAAAAAATCATTATTTAACAATAATGATTTTTCTCTGTGACCCAGTACAGGTCTGAGGGCCAGTGGTTTGACCTCTGACCCTCAGGAGATGGAGAAACTGAGGGTTAAAGGTCACAGGCAGAGACTGTGCTAATAAAACAAGCTGGGGGTTAGAAAGTGAGAAAACTGACTGGAGTTTGATGATGTTCCTCTGCCAGGTACCGCTGAGTTCTCTTCACAACAGAAGGATCTGAGCCCATGAAGGGAAGAGAGTACTGCTGGATCTCAGAGCTGAAGAACAGATTCCCTCTGCACACACACACACACAGGATCACTAAGCCATAGTCGTACATGTCTTGTTTTTTTTGTTTTTATTTTCAACCCTTGTCTAAACTTCAGCTTCTAAATGTGCTAAAGAAAAATCTCCCAAATCAAATGAAGAATGAACACAACTGTTTGTTCCAGTTGTGGCCTTTATTGAAAGACGTTTCTGGAACTCTGTATTAACGTAAAGTTTTAACACCTAATCATCAGGGAACAGTCCTGGTTCAGTCATTATGAACTGACCACGGGGGCGCTGTCCTCCTTATTCCTGTAAATGTGGAGTAAAGAGGTCCACATGGACAGATCTATCCAGTGGTACTGTATCTGACAGCCCACATGGACTTCATCATATACTCAGGAGTATCTGATCTGTGGGCCATTTCAGCGCTGGGCGCTGTACACCACAGGTGTGTTGATGTCCCCGCTGCCGTCAGCTGGTCAGAGGCAGCGAGGCAGCAGGAGTCTCCTACCTGCGTCGGAGCCTGGAGCCCACGTAGGTCAGAGGTTTGTGTTGGAACTTCCTCCTTAGACTCTGAAGATTGTTGCTGTCAGCAAAACCGTAGACAGCAGACTGCCATGTGCCATCGTGGATACACACACCCTGACACACACACACACACCAAACAAAGTATGTTTTATCAGAGTGTTCAAAGTAGAAAGTGTGTAGAGTTTTGAAAAAATGTGTTACACACATCTGGTCCTGAGCCAATGGTGAGAAAGCTCTCTACTGCAGTCAACGTCCCTGTGAACACACACACACACACCTGCTCAGTTCAAGACTGTATTCACAGGCTCAGAAACACAGACTATAGACCACAGACTTTAGAGAGACACAGACATCAGTACAGACCACATTAAGGTGGATGTGGTCCACATGGACACCCAGACAGAGACGGTTCCTACCCTTGAACTGCTCCCTGGTGTAGATGACTCCCATGTCTGCAGGAATGGAGTCAAAACCACAGCTGCCGATGACGTAGACTCCGGCGTCAGCCGCCTGACTGTTGTAGTTCAACTGCATGGCCTCCAGGAACTGTACAAGGTCAAAGGTCAGTCATTGTTGGGACAGGATAGGCCTGATCTTCTACTGTAGCTGAAGGTCAAGACTGACTGGACGTTTTCTTCCTGGTACAGACCTGTGGTTCTCCACTGATGTCGATGTGGTGAGCTCCATTCTCCACACATGCTTTGACCACGGGTTCCCCATAGAACCGGTACTGCAGACACAAACACAAAAGTAGACACTTTTACTACCTGTGTACTCTGTGTGTGTCTGTGTGTCACTGGTTTGTCTCTACAGAACTGACACCTGAAGGTGGAGAACCCCATTCACAGACATTATTTTTCATTAGTTGGATTTGTTCTAAATATTTATTTATTTAGTCTAAATAATTGGCGTACCATGTGACAGTAGAAGCTTTTTTTGCCCAAATAACAACGACTGCAAAAAAAATAAAACCATTTAAAAAAAAGAATAAATGAAGTGAATGACTCACAGGTCCCACACAGTTGAGGACGATCACCGCCTGTCTGCACATGGACGCCAGGGAGTCTGGCTGGCCCACGTCTGCAATGATGATGTCCACCTCTGACCTCAACTCTGGTTTACCTGTGCATTCACACACACACACACACACACAGGTTCATTTAAACCTGATATACCAACCTAGTTAAAAGCAGTTAACCAGCTAACTAGCAGCCTGCTGCACATAAACACTTGTTGACACAGCGGGGACCTGACGTTGATGCCGTTCCACCTGAATCTTAATCTAATCTAACCTGCTGGGGCAGATAGACGGGATCAGAGGATCAGAGGGAGAGTTCCATGGACAGGGTCCAACCCCGTCCTTCCTGATCCACGTTCAAACTGTTCAAAGAAATACACTGGAAGACGGAATAATGACCAGGTTTTGCACTGAACATTACACATTAGATGTGTGAGCTCTCTGACGCCACCTGGTTTCAAAAGCGAGATAAATATTGTTTGGGGCTAAACAGCCATGACGTGGAATTGTTCTGGGCATTATTTACTACAGCTCTACTGCCACATTTTAAAGTCAAGACTCCAGGACTGGTCCAGTTAACTAGTCACCTTCTAACTGTACCGCACACACGCTAACTACTTGGGATGCTAACTGACACTCTGAATTTGTATATTTGTTTGTTAATGTGTTTGTTGTAGCCTCATTGTCTCTGTAGATCTGGGTTTGGAGGACCGGTTGTAACGGACGTAGACTGTATAGATGTAACTCATAGTGTTTCATGGTACGGTCTGTGCTCTTGCGCAGTAATGAACTTGCAGTACAATTGTGATATTGAACACAACGTTATGTCGTGATGACGACAGTGTTTATACCACAGTGACACACATACATTATTACACACATATACTGAAATACTTCCTGTAACACTTACCGAGAATCTCGGCGGCCTGCCCCACTACTTTCTCCAGCTTCTGCTTGCTTCTCCCCGCCACGGCCCACTTTAGAGTCCCACCCGGACCCTCGGAGATGGTGCGGGCCACCTCCTCCACCACGAACTGTCCAGTGAAGCCGGAGGCTCCAAAAATGACCAGGTGATAGGGTCTGCTGGAGGACGACATGGTAACAGGACACAGTGACGTCTTACCGACAGTCCAACACAGATAGATCCAACGGCTCCGTCTCTTCCGCTGTGGAGCAGGATTGCTCGTCCCCGACACCAGTCATTTAAAAATGTGCGTGAACGCGCACGGTGGGGGTGGAGCGACTAAAGTGCGTGAACGCGCACGGTGGGGGTGGAACGACTAAACTAATACTGCCCACCTATAAAATAAATGAGCAACGGTGATCAATAAAATCGTTTTCTGCTCTAGCAGCGATATTTGCTGTGGTGACTTAAGACATTAGTAATCGATAATGGTTTTAATGGTCGAAACAAGATAATGGACCTGGTCTTTGTCAAGTCCATTAAAAACAGACGTGTTGATTAAAACTGCTGCTGGATCATGGTGGTAAAAAATATTTCAAACGTTTACACTTAAATCACTACGAGCAGATTAGATTAATTGATCTACGACGTTATAACAAACTAAATGAGTTACATTAAAAATGAATTGTTAAATTGACGGGACATTGAAGGCACCGTGAAGGTTTATCTAATAAAAAGACAAACTGAAAAGAGAAGTAACACGCTCTAAATCCAGATTCACAATTAAAAGGAGTACTGTAGTCAAATAATATCAAGTATTTAAAACTGATGTATAATGGCTTCACCTGGACACAAGCACAACGGTTAGAACATTCTTAGAGTCAGTACAGACAGTATTTCTACGGTGAACTTCGGACCTCGAACGTCCACAAACGGACTTAATCGAAAAGATATTTATGGACAAAATGAGCTGAACTCGAGTTTTTCAACTGTGATATACTAGGGTTATGGCCTTTGGCAAGTTTTCATACATTTTAAAGAATTTGTTTTTCAGGAAAGTGAAATTGTTGGTGCATTATTGTATTCTGGTTCTGTAGGACTTGGTAATCGCCCCCTCACATGTTTTTTTGTACACCACCTTCCTGTAGCTTTTTGATTGGTTGAGTATTAATGACGTTAAATTAACGCGACGGTCAAAACTCGTGTTACAGTGGAACGCGAGAATATGTAGTTCTCAATGTCACAGGGTTCTTCAGCACAGCGGGTCGAAGAAAGACCGTTTTAAATAACGGCTGTGTGACATTAAAGATGCGGAATAGTCTACATGCAGGTATACGTTTCTTTATTGCATGAGCAATATGCAAGGGCACGTTTTTGTTTAGATTGTAATAGCTTTAGCTCAATGTTAGCAACTGGGCTAACAACAATATCTTTGTTGGTCGCTTTAATATCCCTAAAACAAATGGCTAGTTGTTAATGTACGGTGGCGGTATAATTGTCAACGTTCACACAATACGGCTTATGTTGCCGCGGAGTGTCGAACTGTGACATGGTGTCTCGTACTACACGTGGTCCATTAAGTGAATATGTGGTACACTCAGTATTGTTGTGGCACAACAGATTGATTTGTTTTTTGTCGTTATATATATAATACTATATAATACTTGTTTCATACATTTAAACGTTTTTCACCTCTGTCTGTGATGCTACAACGGTATGGGTTCAATAAGGCTCCATCTAGTGGAGTCATGACACTAACCCTCAGGAACATTTTGATGTAATAGTATATATTTCACCTTTATTCTTATCAAAGCCAATTGTTCTTCATCTAAACCATCTTCCTCAGGCACTGACGTCTCCATGCATTCCTGAAAGTTCTGCTTGGCCTCCCCGGTTTCCAGTTTAAAGTCCACTATGTCAAGCCATTGGTGCAGATCAGCGTCGCTGGTGATCCGCTTTGCGTGCGGCCACAGTCTCACAGGCAGATCCTGTTTGAACAGAGTGTCGTGTCCTGCCGTGTGTGGACGTGTTGTTGGAGCTCCCGTGTTCAACAGAAGGCTCTACAGCTCTGGCCGGCCCACGCTTGGTTTAGAGCAGAGCGCCTGCACAGACAAAAGCCCTCGTTCTACAGTACTCCCACTGAGGAACTTGTCAGCTGTTGCTGCTCAGGTAGCTAATAACTTCCTTTCTCTACTGTGTTCACCTGAGCCACACCTGGAGGAGTTTCTGACACAGATAATGGTGGAGCTGACCTTTGACCTTTGCTAACATCACCTGTGTCCGTGTCTTTGTCCAGGGCCACACACATCCTCTGTGTCAGCATGAAGACCTGGATGTTAGAGACATTGAAGAGAAAATACGCCGCACTCTGGGCAGTAGACAACAGAAACACTACCTGGTGGATCCACAGCTGGCCACGGTCGTGGCCCAGCATCTCAGGACAGGGGACACTGACAGTGTCATTTTTGAATGTAACCCAGGTAAAGACCTTGTAGATGTTGAACAGACAGTGATGTCAGTCAGTCTGTGTCCAGTCTGAGGAGACGCTTGTCTTTCTTTGTCTCTCCCAGGTCCTGGAGTTTTGACCAGGGAACTGATTAATGCTGGAGCTCAGAGGGTCGTGGCCCTTGAAGGAGAACGCTCCTTCCTGCATGATCTCAGGGTAAACATGTCCACTCATTAGTCACAGCGCCCCATAGTGGAAGGCTGAAAGAGCCTCATTTTCACTGTGATGAACAGCTAGATCTTTGAAGACTGAAGGTCACAAGGTCACAACATGGACTTGTAGCCAGTGTCCTGTAAGACTAATTTGTTTTGTACGGCAAAGGTTCGATCTCCTCATATGTGACCCTCACTGTGAGGAACACCACACTGACTGCACTGACAGCTGCCTCATTCTTTGTAATAACAAACTATAGCAGCATGGTTAGCCATTCCAATGTTCTGAAAATCTGATTTGGTGTTTCTCCTGTCTTCTAATGAACTGAAGTGGTGGAATACTACTGAAATACTACAAGTGTTTCTGTTGTTTCAGGAGCTGGAGGTTCAGCTGGGCGCTCAGCTGGAGGTGCTTCACTGTGACTACTTCAAACTGGATTCTGTCAGCTACAGCAGACACAACTCTCCTTACATGACCTCTGAGGAACTGTTCAGTCGCCTGGGAATATCAGAGCGCGCTTGGACTGAAGGTGAGAGCAGACGATGGCTCCTGTCAGGACAGTACCGTGTGAAGCAGGAACTTTTACAGAAACTCTGTCTGCCTTGAGACCAGCAGGTTCTAAGAATTTGGTAGAAATGAACAGAAGTGAGACCACCACCGGGGGCAGTATGAGAATCTACCGTCTACACGTCACACTTGTGTTCAGTGGTGTTGTTTTTGTTTCTGTTGTCAAGGTTCTCACTGGTTCCCTCTCTCTGCAGGCGTCCCAGTGAAGGTGGTTAGTATCCTGCCCCAGCACAAGGAGCGCAACATGCTGCTGAAGATGGTTTATGTGTTGTTGGAGCGAATGTCGGTGTTCAGATATGGAAGAATAGAACTGAACTTCTTCATCAGTGAGCAGGAGTATCTGGTATGCATGTATATCCTGAGCTGGACTGGGGCCACACACTGTTTGACAGTCAGGAGGTTCCATTGTATAAAATGTAAAAATGATATGTTAGTTATATGATGATATAATATAATGTGAGTGTGTCAGAGAAGCTGCTGTAAATTCACCTGAACAAACACTTCAGGGACAAAGGTTTTACTCATGAATTATTTCAATATTTATTTTTTACTATTCATGATTCCGTATCAAGTATTAAATATGATTGATTTTCTTTTTTGTCTTTCAGAAAATGATGTCATGTCCAGGCGACATGATAAACTACAGATCGTCCAGTGTCCTGTGGCAGATGGCCTGTGACATCAGACTGTTGATGAAGGTACAGTCACAGTGTGGTTCTGTTCACTACTGTGTTGTGTTTACACTTCTGCCTTCTCTGAGAGTTCTGTTGTTTCTGGACAGGTACCGTTGGAGTCGTTTGTGACGACAAGAAAGAACAGAACTGTTCATAAAGGCAAGGTAAGAAAGGTGGTGACACTCCCCCCTCCCCTTAAACCCACTGTTGACCCCTGGTCTGCACATTCATGGTCTGTGTCTGAACGTTGACTCTCTAAGGTTCCCAACGATCACATGTGCCTGGTGCGTCTGTGTCCACGTCCACATCTGTTCTCTGAAGGCCTCAACTCATCCAATGCCAGGGCCCTGGTCATGTTGATCCGACAGTGTCTGGTCAAGAGGAGGAGCAAGCTGATTGACAAGCTCAAGTAGGCAACACACACACTCAATCTATACAGGAAAAAAAAAATTCAGGGCAACACACACACTCAATCTATACAGGGAAAAAAAAAATTCAGTCAATTCAGAAATTTGTAGGAAATGTTAGTGTTTCTGGAAATATTTAAAGTCCGACCATCTGAAGGGTTTTTTTTCTACATTTATTTTTATTTTGTGAGAGCACTGTAATACAGTGTTGGCTTTCGGCCAATAATAATAATAATAATATTGCCGCTCAAGTGAAATCTTTGTTTACAGAACAAGAAACAAAACACAGGAAGTCAGATAAATTATATCTGAGAACTTTGAACATACTGGGAAAGATCGACATATGAAAGATAGAAATCACTACCAGGGAGTAGGCTAAAGGGAGAATGTAATCTTTTCCATTGTATAAATGTCATTGTCCACTGTATATCTATCCACTCCTGTATTGTGGGTGGGTCATGGAGCAACCAGGTGCTTTTTGTTTTTTTACCAGTTGTTATTAGAATACTAAATAGATATCAATCACCTGGTCAAACCTGGAAATCTAAGTTTCCTAAAAATAACATAGAGAATTGCATAGGTAAATTAGTGTTAAATTTGCCTCTTCATACTTTGATGCTCTGTTCTCTGTAATAATTATGGTAGTGAAATCTGAGGGACCTGGGGAGGTAACTGGTGAAATGTGGTGATGTTATAGATGATGTCATGGACTGTTGAGTGGAACATCACCTCCTTTGTCTCTTTTATAGTCAGTGGTCACACAAAAGTGGACGTTTACTGTTGAGTGAGATGGCACTCCCCAGGGACGTTCTGACGGGACATGTTTCTCCAGACCAGTATCTGAGACTCTTTCTACTAATGCACCACAGCCAGGACTTTGCAGAGTTGTCTTTATTTGAAGAACCCCGAGACCCAAGCATACAGCTATGTCTAACATGATGATGATGATGAAGATGAAGAAGAACAACTTGGGACATCTTCATCAGCTCTGTAACACTGACATCTCACCATCCTTCTTACACAACTTCTGTTCTGTTCCTGTATGTGAAAAAACCCCATGATCAGAGTTCCACCATCATGTTATTCCAGAAAAGTCTTCATCTGAGTTGGGACGATATTTACATTTGAAATGAAAAATAACTAAAACCTGGGTGAGATCAAATAGAACTACATGAATATCAGTCCAACCAAGAACCTGGTTGTTGAAAAGGAGTCTGGACTCTACTGAGCAGTTCTACAGGAGGCAGGACTTGGACCAACCTATGGCCCACAGGGTGGTGGACAGGCTGGACTAAGGTCTATGTCCCACTCTGACATACCCACTCTGTGTAATTGTGTACAGTGAGAATAAATGTGATGCCTGTTATTTATTCTTACAGAACTTTATTAATGCGTCATCTGATAAAGTCATCCCTGGACTATAAATAAATAATGATGGACAACTGTTCACTTTCATTTGAATACTAGCTCTTGTGCCAAAAAAAGTGTAGACGACAGTGCTTATGACTTGGTTAAGTCCAGAATAAATCATCAATGTTGCCAATCATAGGTGTGTGTTGGCACACATGCGGACCAAAAAAAACAAAAACATTTTCCACTTTTCAACTCGTCCCTGATGAGATCGATGTGTGTGTCACTCACGTCGATGTATCGGGTTTTCTGTCAGTAGCCTTAAAGGCAGATTTATAATTTCTGTAATCTCAGATTGACCTTGTGAAAACTGTATTTAGAGGTTGTCTTATATTCACTGAAGCTGAAGTTCTGTAAATTAGTTCAGTACAACCTGACAGAGTTCCTCGTGTTCTCTCCTGTTAGAACTTTCCTTCCATGATGAAGTCCATTGAAGGCCTAAAAATGAAAGAATAGGGAAAAAATCATCTGAAAAAATCGTTGTGGAACCAACAGCCCCTGCAGGGGTCGCTAGTTCAATTCAGAAATGTTGAATGTGTTTCTGGAGAAGGCAGTGAGAAACAGAACAGACAGAAAACGAATTATTAGTTAATAATTAAATTCAAGTTTTCCATTTTAAAATAAAATGGAAAGATTCCTTTCCTCTGACACAGCATACATATACACAGTACGCAGATATGTTTCTTTGACTTCGTTATCAATAACATCCATTTAAAGCAGAGTTGACGTTTTTCTTCTTGATGTACATAACTTCAGGTAGGTCTCTGCAGGTGCGGTAGTAGTAATGTCATACACCAGAGGGCGCCAGAGCACCAGCATTTGAGGCTTTAGCAGGAGTGGACAGCTTTAGCAGCGACTCCGCCTGGAGGTCGAGTATTGAGTCAGCTGAAAACATCAAGGTGTATAATGTTCGTGCGTTTACCTTCGGACAACTTCAACAGCCGTAAGTTTTTGTTGTTACCCGTGTGTGTGTATGAGGAACTGAGAAGGGCGGAGGGAACAGGAGAGCTGTCACAGTGAACTGCGGTGTGTGTTTTCTCCGCGGTTCTCTGTCCAGATGTTGTTAGCTCTTAGCTTGACACTAAAATCGACCTTTTACTGATGTTTGGCGTAACATTACGGTTAGTTCTTTAGCCACCGCAGCCATGACACCTGTCTACCACCTCCATTAGTCAAGAGTAGCTTAGCCTTAGCCTTTAGACACCCTGTCAAGGAACCACGGTGTACCGGAACCGAACATCTACCGAGCCTGTTTCCACGGACGCACTGCTACAATGAATTGAGGTAAACTAGTTTTTCTAAAAATACAAAATTACCGTAAAGCAGTGTATTTACGTCACTGATCGATTGGCGTTAAAGGAGACAAACTGACATTAGTTTCCTAGATTTAAACTTTGTGGTGATATAAATGCAATATAAATTATTAACATTTAGCTGACGATAACAAGAATATAAATTACATTTCCGGTACAAACAAAAAACATATGGTACTGATTTTCTTATATAGTTTAACAGAAACAAAAATTAAAAAAAGTACTCGGACTGTGGCATTGTCTGTACCAATGCCAGATTTTTCCTTAACACATGTTTAATCTTATTATTATTATTTCACGAATCTACTTAAATTGTATGTATGTATATATATATATATATATAGTGACAACCCTAAGTGTTTACTCTGCATCATCTGTGCAGCCTGGAATGTCACTGGAATGTTCTTTATTCCTGAGTACGGGGCCTTAGGAGTTAGAGTGGACTGTGGTGAAGGTGTTCTTCTGATCTGATCTGTTCTCCTGGGTTTGTCTGACACTTCAAGAATCATGTTGAACTTGTTCTGTGTTCCTCCCTCCCCTCCCCCTCTCCCTCGCTTCACCCAGGCCTGAATGTGTGTCTTGTAGTGTATTCTAAAGTGTACTTGTTGTTTTTTTACTCATGGTGTGTCCAGTAGCCAAGAATGACCTCCAGCCTAAAAGGTCAAGGAGAGTGAGGTTGGAGACTGATGGATCATGGTGGTAAGTAGTGGTGGGGGTCTTTGGGTACTCCCTTAATACAAAGTCAGCGTGTTGCCAACCATGTGTATATATATAAAGAATATTCAAATATATACACCACATGTAATAAAGTAGAACCACACAGTCCTGAAGAAAAGTCACGACGCTGAGACTTTTTTGGCCAAGTATGAAAGCACCTGCACAGAATATGACAGTATATTTTGACTTTTTTGATGATGATGTCACCAGGTTCAGACTGCAGGGGTGCATGAGTGACTTTTCTATTTCCTCCAGGTCAGAGAGACAGTAGAGTGATGTCTGAAGTTCCTTCAGATGAAGATCACCAAACTTCTACCAACTCCAACACCAACGTTGACTCCGCTGAGGTTCTGAACCAAAGCAGAAGAGATCTGCTGAAAAACGAGCAGCCTAACGAAGAGGGAGGAGACAAGCTTTTAAAAAACATCTCCTTCAGTGTGAAAGTCCAGCAGGACGGAGATAAAGAGAAGGTCAACTCAGAAGGAGACAGAGAGGAGGATGGGGAAGAAGACACGGATGAGGTGATGAAAGTGGGTGAGGAGGAGGAGCTGAGCACTCAGAAACACCTCCCCATGACTGATTCTCCTCATCCAGATACTGGTAGGTTCATCTACAGAACATCAGAGCACAGCTCCAGGAAAGATGGAATATTTCATGTTCGGCCAGGTCCATGTACGAGAAGAAGAGAAATGTCTGATGAATATGGGATAAAGTGGTTTTAAACTTTGTTACAGAACCAACCTGCTCCACAAGAACAACACCTTCTCATGGGGAACAGAAGAACTCCACCCGTTTGTCTGTCTCCACCTGCTCACCTGTGAGTCCTCCAGGTCATGTTCTGCTCAGGGCTCTGGAGAAGTTGGCCCAGAGGGAGGAGGACTTTCACTTCCCTTATTACCTCCACCAGGTAAACCTACACTTCCTGTTGACTGTTAGAGCAGCCACTCTTTGACCTCCACTCTGACCTCCACCCTGACCTTCTTTAACTCTTTCCACTCTTTATTGCCTCAGTTATATCATGAGGGCGGCACCTGTTATCCCAGGGCAGGAGAGTTCGCTCTCTTTATCATACACATACAGTACTTGACTCAGCATGTCTGTAACAGGGAGTGTTTCAGTTTGATTTGTTGTTGATTGGACTACATTCATCTCAGACAGACAGACAACAAACTGTGACTTAGCAGGTTTTAAGAAGCTACCAGACCAGTTATTTGTCTCTGAGCTGACAGATCAAATCTCTGATGTAGTAAAACCACAAAGCTGCTACAAGGTTCTGTTCTGGTCAACACACACAACTCACAATGACAGACATGTGAAGCAGGTCCGCAAGAGGTCTTTGAATTTGTGTGTGTGTGTTTATGGTTGACGTCCATGTTCTTACTATGTTTCTCTGCAGATTGCTGAAGCCTTTGTCCTTCAGAAGGACTGTATCCTCACCGTGTTTTTAAGATTTACTACAGTCAAGGCCGTGTGTGAGTGCTGTCACCTGCAGTGGTCGACACGTCTCTTCACTGAAGTAGAGCCATGTGTTTAAATCGTTACTATTAGTCTATTTTGTATTATTTTACCTTAAAAGGATGAAACGCAAGAAGATGTTACTGCAGTCAATTCTTTAAAGGCGTTATTTAAATACCTGTACGCTGGAGCTCCCTGTGTGTGTGTGTGTGTCTGTGACATCACATGAAGAGTGTTTTGTGTTTTTCTTAACCTGTGTTGTTCAGATCAGCTGGCACTGTGCTGCATCCACCTGGAGGCGCTGTATCACCACAGGCTCTTGGACAACCTGAGAACAGTGCGGCAGCAGTGGGGTAATAACACACCCAGGTCACATGACATCACATCCCATGATCACTGTCCTAACCTCAACATCTGCTCATTGGTTCAATGCTCTTTCTGATGTTTTAACTTTAGTTTTTATTCCTCTGGTCCAAAGTCCAGGACAACCGGACTTCAGTTCTAGACAAAGAGAAGTTCTAGTAGAACTGAAGAAGTTAACTAGTTACTGTGACACATGTTATTGTTCATTACCTAGTATAATGATGGACGTTCCAAATGCTTTAACATAAAACATCAGATTTTTAGGAGCGTTTTTCTTCCACATCCCACGGTTCTGTTGTCCCAGCTGAATAGATGAGTGCAACAGAAGTCCGACTGTTATTAGGAGTGTTTTAGATGACTTAACACTCACTACGTGTGTGTGTGTGTGTGTGTGTGTGTGCTCTTCATTCTCAGAGAGTCTGTGTAGAACGACATCCTCTGACCTGGAGCTTCAGCTTCTGGACTCTCTCAGACACATCTGTCAGACACACACTCGGTCAGTCTGCATGAGGAAATCTGTACCTGTTTATCACACATACAACAGAGAAGCTACTAGTTATTAAGACCAGTTGTAGTGTACATATGGGTCTGGTGGGGGCAGTATTTCTTTGTAATTGATCAAATTGTTTTAGGCTCAGTGTCATTGGATGATAAATACTACAAGCAGTGAAGCAGAGCTGCTCTCACTGATCAGGTTACGGTTGAACTTTATTGATCCCACACTGGGGAAATTATTGAGTTGCAGCAGTGTAGAGGACGGAGGCAAAGACTGTACAACGACGACAGCAACGACGACTCGATGTAGAAGAATTCAAGATATGAAGTGCATAATAAGAATGTGATTCATGGCCAACGATCATCAGAAGCGTTCCGTCTTGCACCGTGGATGCAGCAGCTAACTGCTGAAGAAGCTGCTCTGTGCGGGGTGAGAGAGGAGTGGCAGATCGTTGGTGCAGCCCTTCTCTTTAACAGTGATGTTGGCTATGTTACACCATATGTTCTTAACATTAGCACCCCCCTCCACCCCCAACTCTGACCGCTCCACAGTTCTCACTGTTCCCACCACATGAAAACCGAGAGCCGTGTGATGACCAAGGAAATGATAAAACATCTGAAACTTAGAACACATTGGAGCTACTCAGCAGTACATGGTAGTGTGTGAGATTAGATCAGCTCCAAATGTTAACACAGTGGTTCCATCAGTGAGGGACAGGAACATTATGGTCTGTAAAATCCATGGTTGTCTATGGAGACTTCAGACAGAGTCACTGGATGTCTGCAGCAGCTTTAGCTGACTGGTCAGCAGGGTGAAGATAAATGGAGCTGGAGTGACCATGCAGTGGTCAGTGTACGGCACACACACACACACACACACACACGTGTGCAGTAATAGCTAAACCATGTGGCAGTTTTGGTGCTTCCAGACACTTGAGCCTCCTCAATGCTAAGGCATCATTTTCATTTCACACACACACACACACACAGGGCAGGGAATTGTGTTTGTGCTAATATTAGAGAGGGAGTGCAGTGAAGGGTCAAAGCTTCTTCACATATTCATTTATGAAAACCTGAACAGACAGTCACTAGGTTCACTTCACCTCCTCTTCCTTCTCCTTCTTCCTCTTTTTCTGTTCACAGACCCAGTTCTAACGATGCTGTGGTAAGACCCTACTCACTGTGTGTGTATGTGTTGGTGCGTCCTGTGTGGACTCTGATGTTTCTCTGTCTGTCACCTGGGCTGTTCTCTGTACGTACAGTGCCTTTGGACCCTGGACTGTCTGAGGCCAGGAGGAGGAGGAGGAGCTTCATGTTCCACAGGTGAGTAGTCCTAGTTAGTCTGTTGTTGTCTGTTAGTGTGTGACTGACACTGTCTTTTATTTTCTAATAGTGCTGACTCATTGTTGACTGCAGTTTCTTGACTTCTGCTGTGGTTCCAGCATCGGTGGCTGACACCTCCCTGGGATTGACGGAGGTCTCAGACCAGCAGACGGGATGTCCAGAGTCCTACAGACAGGAGCTGACTGATGAGAAGGCCAGGGTTAGGGAGGCAGGAGCAGAAGGAGGACCAACCATGTCATTTAAGGACAGTTGTCTGGACCAGTCAACCGCTGAATACATGGATCAGTCTGAGCTTGAAAAGCATTGTGGGGGATTGAGTCCAAGAGGGAAGGCGGAGGAAGAGGCCAACTTGCATGTGACATTAGAAACTGTGCAGCTGGAAGATGGAGAGCAGCGGCAGGAGACCCTGGCTGAGGAGCAGCAGGAGACCCTGGCTGAGGAGCGCAGAGGAGCAGCAGGAGACCCGGGCTGAGGAGCGGCAGGAGACCCTGGCTGAGGAGCGGCCGGAGACCCTGGCTGAGGAGCAGCATGAAAGTACACAGGTAAAACCAGAGTATTCATTCTGTGGAGCTGGTCCTAAACAAACGCCTATAACACTTTAACGCTGTTCTATAAAGTTTGAATAAAGTATTAAAGTCAATAACCGGTAATCTATAATCTACTGTAATCCTTTATAGTCCTGGAACATTTTTGATCATGAGACATGTGACAAACAAAGTCCTGAGAGTTTTCTCTAACTCAGCTCCAAACTTGACACTTTCATAAAAAAGATTGAAATAATCAAATGTTTAATTATTTAACTGATGTTTAAATTAATGTTTATTTATTTATTTCACATTTTTTCCTGTTTGCCTTTAAAGAGCAAAAACATGTACATTTTTATTTTGCCCGTGTTAACTCTCTCTTTCTCTCCCTCTTTCTCTCTCTCTCTATCAGGAGCCCCAGCTCTCTAATGAAACTCATATGAACCAGATCAGTGAGTGTGAGGAGGTGGGGGAGGAGGAAGAGGAGTTTGAAGATGAAGCAGCCGACCTAATGAAAGGAGCTTCTCTATTGGACGACATGGCGAAACGTATCACTGTGGAAGAGGTCAGTCAGTCAGTCAGTCAGTCAGTCAGTGATGAATGGATGAAATAAATGATTGACATGTCACCTTTTCTTCTTCTGCTTTTTATCCTCTTATTGTTAAAGTCCAAAAGGTTTAAAATTGTCAGTTAGTAAAAACCATATAAAAGGTTATTTTTCCTGTGGGTGTGTGTCCTGTCAACTGTAGGTGTCTCATGCCTCTGGTCTGGTCTCCATACTGAAGAAGAGGAGTGTGTGTGTGGACACACCGGCAGAACCTCAGCGGCTGGACAGATTGACTGCTAAAAGACGAGTCCGCTTTAAAGTCTCTGATGATGACGATCAAGGTTGTATAGTATAATAATCAATCAATGATCATTAGAACAGTGGTTCTGGGGCTGTGTGTCTACAGAACCACAAATGGTTGTTTCATCTGTCCAATCAGATGAAGCCTCTCACATCAACCTCTCCTCTTCTCTCCTGTAGAGGTCGGCGGTGGGGACTCCTGCCTCCTCCTCTTCCTGCTCTGTCTGGTCACTGTAGTGATCAGTGTGGGCGGCACCGCCCTGTACTGTGCTCTGGGTGACACCCACTCCTCAGTCTGCCAGGACTTCTCTAGAAACGCAGACTTCTACATGGGTCACATCCAGCACCGGTTGGCTCACCTGCAGCAGTGGTTTGGTTCCGGCTAATAGCAGCTCACCTGTGGACACTGTTGGTTCTTCCTCGTCTTCTTCTTTTTGTTTCCTGCGGCTGCACACCTGGAACAGTTCCAGGTGGTTCCTGCTGCCGTGCAGAGTAAGTAAACATCATGCTGTCTGGTCTAACAGCTGGAATGTAGCATTCTTAATCTCTTTAAATATATCTGCTGGGTCTTCAACAGTCTTCTCACTCACAGAGGGGACTGTTCTGTGTCCTGTCTGCTCAGAACCACCTGTCCAATAATTAGACACTGACCTCAAGTCATGTTTGCTCCACTTTATTCTCAGGTTGTTGACCGAGCATCACCCACAAGATGAGATGAGCCAGCTAATCATATATCATTAACTAACACAGGTTAACATGACGACGGCTAATATTTAATTAGTTAATATGATGATTAGTTAGAACCTAACCCTGTCACACACAGACTCTGTCTCTCTGATTGCAGACCTACCACTGCTCCACATACACTGTCATTCATCCACCTTCAGTCCTAGAGTGGGGGCTGGGTCCAACAAACTGGGGGGTGAACACAGACAGACTAGAATGGTCATCAGCGATAGCCCTGCCTCTAGGGAGCGTCTTTTCACCAATGAGAAGGTACTGGTTAAGTAAAAAAAAAAAAAACTTATTTTACAGACTAAACACAATTTCAATAAAAGGTTTAATGTCTGCACAGATATAAAATAAATTAAATCAATAAGTAAATGAATGTTTCTCACCTGTAAATGGAGATGATGTCACTTCACACACTGCACAAATAGGTGGTTGCCTAGTGGGCAGTTTGGTAAATGTTGCCTTTATTATTGAATTGTAATTATTAAAGTCAATTCATATTTAAGTCTCAAAATGTTGTTGAATGTTTGGGTTTGTTTTTTTAAACAGTGTGTTATTGTTGTGACATGCAACAGAGCTAGAATAAAGACATGAAATGTGCTCCATCCAGAAAACATATTTAACAGTGAGGTCAGAGCAGGGCGTTGTCTTTTTTTAATACAGGTTTAAAACTGAAGCAGTACCTGACAGCAGTACTATCATGTCTTTGTCCTGACTCAAGCAGACCTACACTGAGGTGATGGTCTCTGCCTGGGGGGGGAGGGTGTTGTTTTTTTTTTGTAAAACATGTCATTTGATGTACTTGTGTATGTACTCATGTACGTATACATGAAAGCTTTTCTGTAAATTCTGATGGTTGACAGGAATTGCCAATGTTTTAGACGTGGCTTTTTCTTGCATGTGAAGGTGCAGGTGAGTCTGTTTCTCTGATGCATAAAAAAATATCCTGTGTGTGTGTGATGTCATCCTGTCATCCAATGAAACCACAACAATAGCATTAAGCATTGTTACCTGGATAACATTTTTATTGAAGCGGCTCTCTTCTTGTTTACCTGCTACATATTCCCAGTTGTGGGAATAATAAAGTACAAGAATATTGTAACACACGACAGGTTCTCTGCACCTTTATATTCAGCTCAGCTTATATTCTAGTTATAAGTATAAGTTATAAGTATAAGAGGAGTGTACATCATTTTGGCGCCCCCTAGATGTACATCCCTCTGGGCATCTACCTGTACTTCACTGGTGCGGTTTAGAATTGGACTTACCATTGTGTTTTCCTGTATTAGTAGTAATACTAATATATTAATATATTAATATATAATAATATATAATACAGTATTAGTAGTAATACAGGAAATACAGGAAAACACAATGGTTTCGCGGTATACACAAAATACTTTTTTAACCACCGTCAGTATCACACAAAACCCATTACGGAATAAATCAAGTCGTTCGAACAAATTGCCAAATTATCGTACATTTTATTGAAAACAATCGAGCATATGATACAATTCAAAACGATACGATAATTATCGTACATCAGGCAACACTGCCTTGACAACCGAACTACTACAAGTACGGTGGCCGAGAAAAGACAAGCACATTGGTAATAATTTCCGTTATCCCCTAAATTTAACCTAATGACTAATAATTAATGTTGGTTTACCACCTGAACTAAGTAAAAATGAACAAGTGGTTTTGTAAACACTTGGAAACGAGGAGCTACCAATAAAACGTCACAAACAACCGAGGATCATGGGTAATATTCTACTATCTGTAATATAAATAAAATTAATTCTTAACTATTGGCGATCATATGGGGGGGCGGGGGGTTTACTACTCTGTTATTTTTTTATTTATTTGTTAGCTTCCGGGCGTTTACGGTCGACGTAACTCTAACGTCATCACGTAGTGCGTGCGTGAAGCGGATGTTAATAATAGGTAATGCTACGAGTGAAATGCAAAAAATGTTGAAATTGGAGCGTTTCGTGAGTCCGGGGAAAGGGAACGGTGTCCGGGCGAATGTGGCGTTGAGGAGAGGGCAGCTGGTGCTGTCCGCTGAGCCACTGGCCTGCTGTGTTTCGAACAGAGTGAGGAGTCAAGTCTGTCACCACTGCTTCTCCTGGTGAGGCTGCGGTTGCGCTGGTTAAATAGTTAAATGAAAGTTAAATAAAATAAAATGAAAATACGTAGTCTACGGAAAAGTACTGCAGTGTAAAAATGGTAGTTTGAAAAAGACACTTCTCAGTCCAATAATAATATTCCATCAAAACAGTGAGACTCAGGAAGAGTTGCTATTTCCAGTCTTCTGGAGTGTTCTAGACAGATGGACAGATAGAACGGTATCATATTGTGGTTCACATGTCACTGTTGTACTTTGCTTCATAAACTTCCAGAATTGTCTGGTAGTTCAGCTGAGGTTTGAAACAACTGATAGTTTTCTTCTCTCCAGGGGAGAAACCTTGAAGAGATGTTCTCAGTGTAAGGCCGCCCGCTACTGCAACGCCATGTGCCAGGTACTGTGTATGTATGTGTGTGTGTGTGAGACTGCCTAAACTGGTCTGATGTTCTAGGTTTGTGCTACAGCACTGGCGTGTTTGTCTGTGTTCTGCAGAAACAAGCTTGGTCCATACACAGGAGAGAGTGTAAGTCTTTGCAGAGACTCTCTCCCAGAATTCCCCCTGACTCTGTCAGACTGGCTGCCAGAATCATCTTTGCCTTGGTTTGTGTTTTATTTGAAAATGTACAGTAAGAACCATTCCACAGTAACACACTCCTGATTGAGTTCTCCTCTTCCTCATCCTCTTTCTCAGCTCAGTTCATCAAAAAACCTCAGTGAGGAGCTGTATACTGTGGAGGAGCACGAGTCACGTAAGTGTGTCTGTATGTCTGTGTGTGTGTGTGTGTGTGTAGTTGTTTTCCATGCTGGTGGGCCAGCACCACATCTCGTCATTTCTTTCTCTTGGTTTTTATTCTGCAGACCTGAGTTTGATGTCGGAGCAGAAGAAACAGGGTCTGTCTGAGCTGGCCTCCACGTTACAGCTGTACCTGCAACAGGAAGCAGCTGGTTTGGAACCGATCATGACATCAGCACTGCCGCCATCGTGTCAAGACCCACTGAGTCTGATGGCCAAGGTTAGGACACATGATTGTTTGTCCGTGTGTGTGCGCAGTTATTTATTTGTTTTTTACACACTTGGCTCCTTTCATCTTGTTCACTCGTCATTGTTCCTACATTAAACTATAAGCTACACACACACACACACGAACAGGGACCTGGTAAATCACTGAGATTTCAGACCAAACAAATATCCAACCCTGGAAAATGCCAGAATCCACAGATGTATTTCTCACATTGCCTCAAGAGGTCAGTGTTGTTCTATAATTAATCTAAAATAATAATTATAAAGACTAAAATTAGTCTGAAAAACTGCAAATAAGAGTCTGAAATACTTCAAATAAGAGTCTGAGTTACTTAATCATGGCTGCAGCTAACAGAGAAGTGTTCTGTGTGTGTAGAATATTTTATTTCAGATGTCAGTAAATTAAAAGTTTGACTTTTTTAATTTTAATTTTTCTTGGTCTTCCTCTTCTCCAGATAATCTGCAACTGTTTCACCATCTGTGACAAAGAGCTGCAGGAGATTGGAGTTGGACTGTACCCCAGGTACCACACACACACACACGCACACACACACACACACACACACACTGTGCAGGTTTGTCTGACTGATGGTCACAGTGACCCCCTGACACTTCAGCACCACTAAATTCTGCCAATGTTGTGTGTGTGTCACTGTAAGTGTGTGTCTGTGTTTGTGTGTGACTGTCCTCGGTCATCCATAAATGATTAGTCCATGTCAGAATGCTCCCCTGCATGTTCATGTTTGGTTGCTTAGCAACCAGTGTTCTGCTGAAGAGCCTGTGGTCCAGTGATGTGGCTCCGCCTCCTTCTCCTCCTGTCACTCTGGTCCGGCCTGTTTTAATTTGGTCCACATACCACGTACCTGTCTGGGTCTCATCCTCCTGTCTCGGCCCGTCCGGCCTGTTTTAATTTGGTCCACATGTACCTGTCTAGGCCTAACTCTGTCTCTCTGTCTCCTCTTTCTGTCCTCAGTGATGATAACATCACACGTCTGTGCCCTCCATCTTACATGTGTCTGCTTGGAGGGGTGTGGAGGTGTATGGGGGGGGAGGTGTACAGTGAGAAAGTATCTAATTTAACTTATTGATTCCAAAACCCCAATCAGTTGCTGCAAATATATCGCCTTTGTTGAGTCTCTCTGTGGTGTAGTGACATGGTGGCCACCAGGTGGCAGCATGTGGTTAATGTCACTGTTGATAGACAGTGGAAAAAGAACTGAACTGTATTGTCATTGCACAGGAACAATTGTGTAGAAGTACTACATGTACAACAGGAGTTTTTAGTTAGTTTTCTTACCTTACAGCAGGAAAGTTGTCGGTTTGAGTCCCAGCTTTAACTGCTGGTCTTTCTCTATGGGAATGAGTGTGAATGTGGGAGTGAATGGTGAAGTGTATGTGTGACTCTCTCTTCCTGCTCCAACTTCATCTTCTACCACAACCATCCATTAATATGACCTTGACTTGTCCTCCCCTCTCCCCCCGTTCCCCAGTCTCTCCCTGTTAAACCACGACTGTAGGCCCAACTGTGTGATGATGTTTGATGGACCACTGCTGCAGCTCAGAGCTGTTGTAGACATCAGACCTGAGGAGGAGGTAGGTCCTTGAAGACCCTCTGTGTATTTTTATATTTATGTGAAGCAGTTCTGCAGTACTGTTTACAGACAGGAACACAGTTTCAGTGGTATCCAAGTTTTTGATTTCTGACATTTATTGGATGACATGACCGTGAACTCTGTGTACTGTTGTGTTTCCAGCTGACCATCAGCTACATCGAGACTTTATCAGTGACTGCAGAGCGACAGAAGCAGCTGCAGGACCAGTACTACTTCACCTGCCGCTGTCAGCTGTGCAGCTGTGGAGCAGAGCAGGTCAGAACCACACTGGCTCTTTGGATCCTGACCCGGTTCTGCTGCTCCACCAGGGCAGCAGGTCACTCAGTGTGCATTCACTTTCCTCTCCTCCGTCCAGGACAGGTTCATGTTGTCGGGGGAAGAAGCAAAATGGCAGCAGTTGAAGGAAGTTCTCCCAGAACTGGAGAAACACAAAACCCAGAACAGTATCCTTCACTGAGAGTACATGTAGTAACAGCTGTGAGTATATGAAGAAACTTCAGTTTGTACAGTAGTAGTTTTTATCTACATCTGTGTACTCCTTACAGAGCTGTCCCCACAGATTGGGAAACGTTGCTGAAAAGCTGTCGTCGTTTGTTGTCGACTGTTGTCAACAACGTTCCTGATGAAAATGTTTACAAGCTGAAACTGACGGACATGGCAGTGGACGCCTGTGTTCACCTGCAGCTGTGGGAGGAGGCACTGAGCTTTGGACGGAAGACCCTCTCTGTTTACAAGTGATTCAGGACACACACACACACACACACACACACACACACACACACACACACACATACACACACGTTTTAAAATGTACTTCTGCAATGATACTCACACTAAGCTCTTCCTCCTCTTCTCCCTTCTCCTCTTCCTCCTGAAGACGGTACTTTCCTGATCCACATCCAGTCCATGGAGTTCAGCTGATGAGGGTTGGAAAACTACAGCATTATTTAGGTCACATCCAGGAGGCTTTGGACACCTTCAGACAGGTGAGGTGGGAGGGGCAGAGGGGGTGAGGTGGAGGGGGTCTCTGTTGGTGCAGCCTGCAGGTGGATGACTGTTACTGTCTGATGTTCACAGGCCTTTCAGATCCTGGAGCTGACCCACGGCAGGACTCACCCGTTAACCACTGAAGTTCTGACTAAGATGGAGGAGTGTCAGTCAGAGTGGGCTCAGACTCATGACCGTGACCTGGTCACATGATCACACTGCTCCACAGACTGAATGAACACTGTCTCACTCGTGTCTGTTGTTTTTGTTGTTGATGGAGGTTTGTTCAAAATCACAACTGTGTTGTGATTGGAGGGCTGCCAGTCCCTGCAATGATGATGTCATCAGAGTGTGTTTCTTATTATTACTGTTTTATACGTCCGTCTACTCTCACAAAACACTTCTTTTTGACATGATGTTGTAGTGCAGCCGAGACAGGAGGCTTTTGAATAAATTCCTTTTCAACTTTTTTCTTACAGTGTTACAGTGGTTGTATTTTACTGAAGGACATAACAACCATTCACACTGACATTCATAGCTACAGTTAAAAGGCAGCACATAAAAAAAGACAAGTGTTAGCATGAGTGAACAGGTTAGCATCAGCTAACATCAAAAATGTCTTTTATTTCTGCCTTAAATCCTGTGAGAAAAGAGAGAACGTTCCACACACTGTACTACACGACAGGTCACATGCTTATTCCGACTGTGGAGACACAACATGACGAAAGAATACAATCACATGGAGTTTGGTCTGCTCCCCCTGTTGGCTGGTTTGGAGAGAAACACTGACTGACAGCAAACAACACATTCAGGAAAACCTTTAGTTTTTTTTAGTCTAGCACCAAGATCACGTATGTACACCTTTAAAAAAGAACGTTTTTTGGTAGATAACAAGGCACTTATTTAACTGAGTTCTTCTTCCTCAGCTGGACGTCATCGCTCTGATGTCAATGTCGATGATGTCATCGCTCTGACGTCATGGTCGATGGATCTTCAGTCTGTGTTTGTGAGAAGCTGAAGGTTGTTTCTCACTTCCACTTCTTTGTCCTCCATCGGTTTAAAATATTTATTTTTGTTTTTCATTTAAGGTTTTTTAAAATGTCTTAATAACTTAAGGTTTTAGGCGACAAACTCATTTACTGTTCTGGCTAAATCTCCCCTCCAATACAGGAGGAGATTCGTACACTGGCAGTTGCTGGGCCTTGACTGAGGTCAGCGACCCAGAGGTTTAATGTTGTTGAGAATTGTTTTATCCACTCATCTGCTTTAAATACTTGAAAAATGTTGCACAAACTGAGGAGTGGAGTAAATGTAAACACCCGGCTGATCTTTGTTCAGGTCCAGAACTCGGTGTCTTTGATCAGACAGCTGTGGACTTCTGAGCGAGCCCTGACCTGAAGTCAGTCTGCAGGAGGACCAGTGCGGTTCCTGTCTCTCTACCAGTGTTTGGAGGACACGTCAAAGCAGGTGACCATCATCAGGTGAGCTTTGCAGAAGTTGACTCTTGTCTCCAGTTTGTACGTCAGTGTTTCCAGGGCTTCCAAATACTCCAGAGAGTCCACTTCATGGACCTGCTGCAGCTGGACTGGAGAGGAGACAGAAAGGCACAGGTGAATAGCGCCACCTACTGTTGACCCCCGTCCAACAGCATGGAAGGATAGAAAAAAAGTTAGAGGCACAGGAACTGGTACTGACTTACACTGTGCCTGTCCCTCACAGACACACACACACTTACAGACACACACTTACACTCACTGGTCCATGTCTGCTCCTCCAGCATCAGGTGCTGTTTGGTTAGTTCCAGTTCCTTCTTCAGACACTGGTACTTGGCCCTCAGGTCACTGATTCTCTGCTGGCGATGCTCCAGCAAACGCAGCCTGGCACTGGGCTGGTGCACCACCTCCTGTTCAGGTGGACGGGGGTGGGATGGGGCGGGGGTGTCGGAGGGAGAGTTGGAGAGCGGGTAAGAGAGACTGGTGATGAATTATTCAGAGAAGATTTTATTCGTGAAACACGTCTCTGTTTGATGGTTACAGATATTCCTGCCTCACCACCCCCCGTTTTCACTCTCACACTCACTCACACCTGTGCTGTGTTGTGTTTGCTCAGTGGATGAATGTCTGTACTCAGTGTCTGTCTCCTCAGCCCTCCCCCCTCTCACCTTGCTCACCCGTCTGTCTCTCCTCCTCTGCAGGCGCTCCACATCATCGATCTTGTAAACCTTGATCTCAAAGTTCTCTGTTGTGTCAGCGGTGACTCGCAGGCTGGTGGGTGGGGGTTGGAGCCCAAGCGGTCCATCTACCCAGCAGGCACCTTGGCTGGAGGAAGAGGACGAAGAAGACGAAGTGATGGCTTGTTTTGCTGAGCGATGAGAGGGTGAGGAGGAGGACGAGGAGGAGGAAGAGGTGTCTAGGGTTAGGGCTGGGATGAGACGACGGCGCTGGAGACCTGGGGAAAAAAAAGGACAAAAATCAGGATCCATTCTCCAACATGGTTCCCAGGCTGGGATGTGAACCACAAGCACCTTCATCTTTGAGGTCACCTTTGACTGATGCTCCAGAAAATAACTGCCCACGGGGGGTATTAACATCTGCACTAACCCTAACTATCACAATAATTATATCACATATGATGAGGGACAGGAGACTGGAGCGGCCCCTGAGGAATCCTGGGTTAAATGTCCACCCTCAGAGCCCTGTGTGTGTGTGTGCATGCATGTACGTGTGTCCTCATCATTTCACAGACGGCTGCTCAGGGTCACCTTTCTACAAAGACTGCTGCCTCAGCATTTCATCATCATCGTGCAGCCGAGACAGGAGGCTTTTGAATAAATTCCTTTTCAACTTTTTTCTTACAGTGTTACAGTGGTTGTATTTTACTGAAGGACATAACAACCATTCACACTGACATTCATAGCTACAGTTAAAAGGCAGCACATAAAAAAAGACAAGTGTTAGCATGAGTGAACAGGTTAGCATCAGCTAACATCAAAAATGTCTTTTATTTCTGCCTTAAATCCTGTGAGAAAAGAGAGAACGTTCCACACACTGTACTACACGACAGGTCACATGCTTATTCCGACTGTGGAGACACAACATGACGAAAGAATACAATCACATGGAGTTTGGTCTGCTCCCCCTGTTGGCTGGTTTGGAGAGAAACACTGACTGACAGCAAACAACACATTCAGGAAAACCTTTAGTTTTTTTTAGTCTAGCACCAAGATCACGTATGTACACCTTTAAAAAAGAACGTTTTTTGGTAGATAACAAGGCACTTATTTAACTGAGTTCTTCTTCCTCAGCTGGACGTCATCGCTCTGATGTCAATGTCGATGATGTCATCGCTCTGACGTCATGGTCGATGGATCTTCAGTCTGTGTTTGTGAGAAGCTGAAGGTTGTTTCTCACTTCCACTTCTTTGTCCTCCATCGGTTTAAAATATTTATTTTTGTTTTTCATTTAAGGTTTTTTAAAATGTCTTAATAACTTAAGGTTTTAGGCGACAAACTCATTTACTGTTCTGGCTAAATCTCCCCTCCAATACAGGAGGAGATTCGTACACTGGCAGTTGCTGGGCCTTGACTGAGGTCAGCGACCCAGAGGTTTAATGTTGTTGAGAATTGTTTTATCCACTCATCTGCTTTAAATACTTGAAAAATGTTGCACAAACTGAGGAGTGGAGTAAATGTAAACACCCGGCTGATCTTTGTTCAGGTCCAGAACTCGGTGTCTTTGATCAGACAGCTGTGGACTTCTGAGCGAGCCCTGACCTGAAGTCAGTCTGCAGGAGGACCAGTGCGGTTCCTGTCTCTCTATCAGTGTTTGGAGGACACGTCAAAGCAGGTGACCATCATCAGGTGAGCTTTGCAGAAGTTGACTCTTGTCTCCAGTTTGTACGTCAGTGTTTCCAGGGCTTCCAAATACTCCAGAGAGTCCACTTCATGGACCTGCTGCAGCTGGACTGGAGAGGAGACAGAAAGGCACAGGTGAATAGCGCCACCTACTGTTGACCCCCGTCCAACAGCATGGAAGGATAGAAAAAAAGTTAGAGGCACAGGAACTGGTACTGACTTACACTGTGCCTGTCCCTCACAGACACACACACACTTACAGACACACACTTACACTCACTGGTCCATGTCTGCTCCTCCAGCATCAGGTGCTGTTTGGTTAGTTCCAGTTCCTTCTTCAGACACTGGTACTTGGCCCTCAGGTCACTGATTCTCTGCTGGCGATGCTCCAGCAAACGCAGCCTGGCACTGGGCTGGTGCACCACCTCCTGTTCAGGTGGACGGGGGTGGGATGGGGCGGGGGTGTCGGAGGGAGAGTTGGAGAGCGGGTAAGAGAGACTGGTGATGAATTATTCAGAGAAGATTTTATTCGTGAAACACGTCTCTGTTTGATGGTTACAGATATTCCTGCCTCACCACCCCCCGTTTTCACTCTCACACTCACTCACACCTGTGCTGTGTTGTGTTTGCTCAGTGGATGAATGTCTGTACTCAGTGTCTGTCTCCTCAGCCCTCCCCCCTCTCACCTTGCTCACCCGTCTGTCTCTCCTCCTCTGCAGGCGCTCCACATCATCGATCTTGTAAACCTTGATCTCAAAGTTCTCTGTTGTGTCAGCGGTGACTCGCAGGCTGGTGGGTGGGGGTTGGAGCCCAAGCGGTCCATCTACCCAGCAGGCACCTTGGCTGGAGGAAGAGGACGAAGAAGACGAAGTGATGGCTTGTTTTGCTGAGCGATGAGAGGGTGAGGAGGAGGACGAGGAGGAGGAAGAGGTGTCTAGGGTTAGGGCTGGGATGAGACGACGGCGCTGGAGACCTGGGGAAAAAAAAGGACAAAAATCAGGATCCATTCTCCAACATGGTTCCCAGGCTGGGATGTGAACCACAAGCACCTTCATCTTTGAGGTCACCTTTGACTGATGCTCCAGAAAATAACTGCCCACGGGGGGTATTAACATCTGCACTAACCCTAACTATCACAATAATTATATCACATATGATGAGGGACAGGAGACTGGAGCGGCCCCTGAGGAATCCTGGGTTAAATGTCCACCCTCAGAGCCCTGTGTGTGTGTGTGCATGCATGTACGTGTGTCCTCATCATTTCACAGACGGCTGCTCAGGGTCACCTTTCTACAAAGACTGCTGCCTCAGCATTTCATCATCATCTCTCTCTCCCCCTGCCTCCCTCCCTCCTTCCCTCCCTCGTCCCTCCCTCGTCCTTCTCTTCATCCACCTTTCTCTGGTTTCTGTCCTTAAACCTCAGAAGTTCTGGTTCTGGTACCTGTGCTGCTCCTGCTCTTCTTGCTGTTCTTTGAGCTGCGTCTGGAGGAGGTGGTGGCCGTGCTGTCCTCACTGAGGGAGTCCTGGGTGGAGGAGGTGCTCCCTGTGTTCTCACTGCTGTCTCTCACCATGCTCTCGTAGCCACTGCTGCCTCCACTGTGGTAGAACAGGGCAGTTTTCCCCATGGCAGGGGGCAGTTCTCCACTCAGTACACTGCTGTTGGAGTGAGAACCACAGAACCAGTCAACCAACAGAATCACAGAACCAGTCAACCAACAGAACCAGTCAACCAACAGAACCAAAGAAACAGTCAAACCACAGAACCAGTCACCCAACAGAACCAGTCACCCAACAGAACCACAGAACCAGTGCTGAGGAACATGGCGTTCCAAACCTCCTTTGAACCAAGCTCCACACCTGTTGTCACTGGCGTGTCCACTGCTGCACCTGTGTGGTTTCCTGGGAGCAGTGATCTTACTGTAGGGGGAGGGGGGCAGTGTTTGGACCACTGCTGCTGCTCTGTCCTCACTGCTGATGCTTCCTGCTGCTGCTGCTGCATCTCCACTGAGAGGTTAGAGGAGAGGGTTGTGACTTATTATTATTATTTTTTAGACTGTTTGAAGCTGTAGATGAGAAGAAATCAAATTTGAAAACCTTAACGTTCCGATGACTTTTTCATCTCCAGCATCAGCACCTCCTCCCTGGGCGTGACTCCTGGAACGTGAGCCTGCACTCCCCTGGAGGAGCTCTGAGATACGGCCGTTGACCGCCCGCAGTGGCAGCTTGGCTGCCAGACTCCCCCCTCGAAGGCGGCTCAGAGACTGGGTGGACCAGGACCCTGAAGCTGGACCCTGCTGCTGCTGCTGCTGCAGACTGTGGGCGGAGCTTTGGAGCTGAGGAGATCAAACGGGTTGACCAGAGAATTAGTTTAAAACTACACAAAAACTGATCTGAGTCATAAAAACTGAGTCGTAGTCCTCAGCATATCCTTCACTCATAACCTGTCGTAGATCTCGCAAACAGAGGACCCCGGGTTGTGCATGAAAACCTCATCAAACCTTGGCACATATACAAACATTTTCACTAATAAAATAGTAGGGATCAAAGAGGGGATCACCTCTGTCCCCACCTACTCTCATTATCTATTGTCCCCCGGGGACATTGACTTGATCACTTGTCTCAAAATCTGCCGACCCTGTGTTTTTGTCAAACTGTTAAAGCACTTTGAGCAGCATGAGTGTATGAACTGTGCCGTACAAATACAGTTAGTATATTGTATTATTATTATTATTATATTTAGTGAGGGAGGTTGTTTTGTTGCGGTTTAGTTTGTCCTGAAATGTATGAATTTAAAACTCCCGACCTTCTGCCTGCATCATGTTACAGCTGTTTGTCTCATCAGAAGTGACGAGTCATCGTTCACTCCTTGAACAAATGTGACGTGGAGTGGAGCAGAACCTACTTTTCCACTGGAGCTGCGGCCGGCCGTCTGACTCAGAGACTTGTTGGACAAACTCGGGGCCTTGCTGCTGGAGGTGGACAGACTGCGTCCTTTTGGACTGCTGCTCAGCAGCAGCTTACTGACCGCTGACAACCTGGACTGACTGCTGCTGTGTGCCGGTGACTGAGGAGCACTGCTCGAACCAGAGCCGGCCCTGAACGCCTGGTGGTGTGTGTTCGCCCCAGAGGACGACAGCGAACCGGCACGGGAGAGATTGTGGCCTGCTCGAGGCATGGTGCTGTCCCCCCTGACTCCTCCTCCCCCTCTGAGACTCTCACCCCTCTCCAGGGACAAGCAGTCGTAGTGATAGGAACTGTTGTTGGACCTCTGCACCCGACCCAGTGAGTGAGTTCTGTTGGCCAGCTGCTCTAATCTGGCGCTGAAGAGTCGACCGCTGTCTACGTTGAAGCCTCGCCTGCCCGCGTTTGTCTGGACGCATCCAGACGTCACGCCTTCGTCTCCGTGATGGGGAGGGCTGGCCGCTCTGCTCTGCTGCTCCAGACTGGACTTCCTGACTGGTGGAGCAGGTGGAAGGCCATTCTTCTTGTAAGAAAAGAATCCCTGCCTTAAAGTTGACCCCCGACGGTCCAGAGTGGCACGGGGGCTGGAGGGGGTCGATGAAGTACTGCTGAGTTGACAGTACTCGCTCCTCTTATCTAAACCATCGTGAAGGTTGAGGCAGTGCCATCCCCGAGGGAGACTGGCCGTGCGGTGGACGTCCAGGTTGTACAAATTCAGAGACTCTCCCTGGGAAACCATGGCGACCATCTCACAGCCGTCCACCACTCTCTTCAGGACGTCTGGTGATGAACCTGTGCTGCCACCTGTTGGTGAAACAGACAAATCTGAGGTGAGATTAAATAACCATTAATCTGTTGTTCTTCATTTGAATCAACAACGTCAGTTTTCACCCTCTCTGTGAGAATCCCTCTTCTCTCCAGAACCCTCCAACGTTCCACGCTTCAACCATGGGTTTTCAAAGCTCGGCTCACCAGGAGCAGTAGCTGAAGTCGATGGAAAAAGAATTTGTTTCTGGATTAGGATGAGTTTTTCAGTGTTTGGTGGTCCAGCATGAACCATGGCGAGAGGCGTTCTCCTGGGACTGTCCTCCTTCAGCACCACCTCCTCCTTCAGACTCCCTCTTATTGGGTCTCCTGTGTTTTCTAAGCCTGTGCTCACGCCACTGACCGAGGAAGAGTTGGGCGAACCACAGGTTGACACATCATGGACACAGAGTGTCTCTGCAGAACCCAGACTGACTGACAGAGACGGAGTGGGGTCGTGGCCCGGTGGGTGGGCGCTCAGTGGAGAGATTCTGGACAAGAGAGACTCCGTGGAGGAACGGCCGCTGTCTGCAGCCACACCGCCTGCAGGGACACCAACACAGTCATGTGACACAGCGTCTGAACACAGAGCTGTGGCTGCAGCACGCTGTCATCAGACAGACATATACACAGACTATATTCTAAAGGTTAAAGGTCATACTGTCAGAGGTCACGGCATCATCAGGCAGAGGCTGCTGGGTCGCTGTTGTTGTTTGCAGCACACTCTTCTGTGTGAACACTTTACATCGTTGGGATGGAGACGACGGAGGCCTGAGAAGAGACACAGGAAGTCGACCCTATGACACCAGACACTGATGATTGGTCCACAGACAAACACAATAAAATGTCCACTGTTCTCACTGTGAAGTCTCACCCATCCTGTGTCCACACCTCCCTCCTCTACCTGCCACTGTCTGCTGTCTTACTCTGTCCCACCTGTGTCTCCCTAACTCCTCCCCCTCACTCACCTTTCTTGGTAGCCAGTTTGTAAACTTTGCCTTCACCCCTCCAGCTCCACCTAGTGGTTTTGTACTTTAGCCTTGTCCCTACTATCCCTACTACAGCTAGTCTTTTGACCTTTTGACCTCTCCACCCTTGTTATTACTGCCATCTGTGTCCAGCCAGGTCACCTGTAGTCCGTGGTCTTGGACAGGCTGGCGATGCCGAGGCGTGGCGATCCCATCAGACGAGTCTTTGCATCAGTGTTAGTTTCACAGCTGGGGAGACAAACACTCCATAAAGAACTCAGTGTGTTTGTGTCTTTAACATCATTTCTTTCTTCTTCTGTCCTGACCTGCTGTGATCTGTGACACCGTAGAAGACACTGCTGCTGCCGCTGTGACCTGTCACACTGCTGCAGGTGACCATAGAAGAGCCAGACATCTGGGCCAGGCTGTGGAGCATGGTCTGGGCCAGAACCGCCTCCTCCAGCACCTCCTTGATTTCCTGCAGCTGTGGATCGTTGGTCTTACCTTTAGAAACTGGAGAAAACAAAAGGTCGGTCAGAAAGTCCTCAGACATGTTTTATCATCGTATCTTTGTCCAGTGTTGAGCTGTGTGACCTTTGACCACAATTTAACCAACCTTGAAAGGAAACCTGTTCAAATGACTGGAGCTCATCAACAGGTTCTGATCTAGAACCATCTGAGTTTTTTATTTTCAGTCCTTGGACTGGGTATTCACTGCAGAGGTACACATGTACCTGTTTTAGTGTCAATGTCCATCATGGCAGCGGCGGCAGGAACAACAGACGTCAACGTAGACAGAGAATACGACAGACACGGTTCCTGTCTCCTGGTCCGTCTGTCGGCTGGAACTTCTTCAAAGGGAAATGTTACTACCTAGAAAAGAGTTACAGCTAAAAATCAAACTTTAATAAATAATAAATTGGGCAGCTTTTATCTTCAAGTGCTGTTGGTGAGAACACATCTGAGAGCATGTCACTGCAGATTACCTCCTCACTGCCGTCGATGCAGTCCAGTCTCTCCTGCAGCTCTGCAAATGTGTTGCACTTCAGACACTCTGCTCCCTCCTCTTGGACAGGAGCCAGCTGGGCCTGGTGAGGAGGAGCGCTCAGCTCAGGAGGAGCCTCCTGCTGGCACTGCACCTGCTGGAGGAGTTATCAGTCAGTCATAGGTGTCCACGCTGATCTGAGTGTTAGTTTCACCTTGACCTGCTCTCTACTCACCTCCAGCCTCTGCTCCTGCTGCTCCTGCTGCTCCTGTTGCTCCTGTTGCTCCTGCTGCTCCGACACTTTTTGAGGCAGAGTGGGAATAATGGGTACGAATTCCGGTGGCCCTTCATTGTCTGTCAGCTCCCTGTCTGACACCGCCCCCCCATTGGAGCCCACGTAGATCACGGTATCACATGAGTGCTCGCTGCTGGAGTACTCATCAGGGTCACTGGGCAGCAGCAGGAGCAGGTCAGAGTCGGCGCCGCCACAGTGATGGAAAGGACGCAGCTGAGTGGGACGGCGCATGTGGCCCTCCTCACACGAGCTCTCTCCTCCAGAGGAGCTGGAGGTGTACTGCTGTGTAGGGAGAAGGAGACATGGGTGGAGGGGAGAAGAGTGAAGGGGGAGGGCAAGGGGTGAGAAACTGTTTGGATTTCAACACCCTCAGATCAGCAGGTATCACTGGAGAGATCATTGATTATTATCATAATTATTATTAATTATCAATAATTATTGATGGTGGTGATGATGATGATGATGAATTACACCACCTTCTTCAACACCTGAATCTCTCCAGAAGATAAAACATTTGTCCACTCACCACAGTGACTTTAGACTTTTTCTTTTTCATGCGCAGAACTCGAGAAGCGATCTGGACCGTGGAGAGTGTCTCAGAGAAGTCTTTAGGAGAGGCTGAGATGTGGGCGATCATGGTGGTCCGACAGTTCATGTTACCCAGAGACTCCCTGAGCAACATGGTGAGTTTGCTCTCCCTGGTGGTGAACGACAGACATAAAGGACATAAAGGGTCAACAGGTGATCAAATGTGTACCAGCTGTTGACCAGTACTGTAGGAAAATACATCATCCCCTCCCCTCTCTGTCCTCTCTTCTCCTCTCCCCTCCCTCCCCCAATGAGATCGATGAAGGTAAATGTTCTGACTCATTAATTATTCATTAACGTGTTCATTTAAAATCCTCGTCATTGAAACTAAAGAAAGTGAACAACTCTGCATCGGTACCAGGAGGAGGGTACCACAGGACCAGTTGAACATTTTTACAAAAAATGAAGGTGACACCAATTTTTCAATTGCCATTGAGCTTGCTTGCTAACAGCGAATCAACAGAAAGTTACAGTCTCTGATGGTAGTTTATGTGTCATACTAAATACTTAGTACTACTGCGTCTACTACTGCCTGAAGATATGAGTATTTGGGGTTCTGAGGTACAGCAGGTTGGGTTCCTTGTGCACCTACTTGTATGGGATGTGTTTGCTCCCGTTGACCAGGGCCAGGATCACATTTCCCAGGGCAGATAAAGACAGGCAGAGAGGGGCAGAGTGTGAGGAGTTCTCCCGGCTCCTCCCACCTCCAGGAAGGGCTTTGGCGTCACAGCTGCCCAGGTCCAGCAGGTGGAGGCGACTGCGACCTCCAGACACTGCAGAAAAACATTTGTTGTAGTGACAGAAATCAGACCAGTGCAAACACACTTGGTTTCTGCCCCTGTAGAGGGTATCTGAGGGGCAGTTTGGACGATGCCAGGGTTGTGTGTACTAATGTAAGTAACTTTACAATTTTACTTCCCAGCTGACACTAAGATGTCGATGTCGGTGTGTGTGTTCACATGATGCAGCAGCAGCAGCAGCAGCAGCCACCACCTGTCCTCATGTTGATGGTTTGTGTACAGTGTGCAGTGAACAATGTGTAGAGTGTGCAGTTCAGGACCCACTTCCTCCTTTGCCCGTCTTGTCCATGCGGTACTGGTACAGGTGCAGAGTGAAGAGCATGTGTGAGTTCCTGTGTTCTTCTTCTGTTGTGTCGGGATGGCGGCTGTTGTGGCGAGCAGCTATGGCAGCGTCCAGATACCAACCTGCTTTTTCTGGGGTCGGAGCTCGCAGTTCAGACTGGTTCTGGAGCTAAGAGGGAAAAAAGAACAGAATGTGTGTGTGAGAGTGTGTGTTTGTAGTGTAAGCAGAGACAGGTGGGTCAGTGTTATTAGTACAGAGACCATGTTGAAGGTCCAGTCAATGCTGTTCAATGGTCAATTATTCTAGTCTTATTAGTGTTTGTCCTCCCTGGCCTGTAGGTGGTGCTATGTAAATGTACAGGCCTGTTCCATGATGCACACACACTGGCCCAGTGTTTTAGACAAATCTAACCCTGTGAACTGAGTCATAACTTTTTCACTGCTTCTGGTTACAGACCAGTAGAAATGAACATGAACCACATTTTTATGATTTTATTATTGATACAACTGTTGTCTCTAATGTGTGTGAATCTGTGTGTTTTTTTACCTGCATACCACAGATGGGGTCCTCGAACAGATACACCCCTGGTGACTGTCCCTCCTGGATGTTGCCTGTAGCCACTTCAGACAGCAAGTCCTTCAGGTTCTCATCTCTTCCCCACACCTACACACGCACATATATAGTACATACACGCACACACACATTTCTACAGTATATGTGTGTATGTCCTTTTGAGTTGAACACTCACCTCCACCGCAGAGACTCGAACAGAGAAACGAGCTCCAGTTTTCTCCCTGCGCTCATTGATGAGTTTGAACAACCAGGAGATGGCGCAGGGAATCACACCCAGAGTCTGGAGAGAGTCGTCACGGCCAATCATGGTGTAGGATTTACCTGTGAGTGGGGGGTGGAGCACAGAAGAAAACACAGCAGATGAAGATCAGAGAATGAGGTCAGATCATGGTCTGGGAGGGCACAGTACACAGTACACAGTACACAGTACACAGTACAGTAGGGTGGGG